ATGCCTACTGTTGAGAAAAGGCAACATGCATTAACCTGTTTGGGGAGACTTTTGCCAAAGACTTTTTTTAAAGATCAGATTCTATATTATCCTCATTAGGCCCCAGCTAGATTATTAAGGATTTGATTTGGAAGGAAAAGGCTCAGAATAGTGAAATTAGATTTTAAATTTAACTTTACATCAATTTGAAAAGAGCCCTTATATCTGAAAATGAAGCCATTTCATTAGACCTTTTTTGCATAATAAAGTCAGAAAACAAATTTTCTTGTGTAGGAAGTTTCTAAATTTTCTTGTGTAAATTGCTATGAAATTCATTAGCATTTGAGATATTTAGTGATTACAGGATACAACTTGCTCTGACTGACAAAATGAACAACTCTATCACTAGAATCCTCAGAATAAAAGTAATTGAGATTCTTCATCTTCTGTTTCCATATCTCTTTCTCCGTATCGATATCTCTCATATGTCTTGTTCTGTGAATATCTAGTGACTATATTTTTCCTCCTTTCCTTTTTCCTTTCCCGTTCTTATGGCCCTTTCTTTGCTTCTCTAGGCTCCAGGTGGTACAGGAATGGGCCTGGAGTCAGGAAGACCTCAGTTCAAATCTGCCCTCAGCCACTTAATAGCCCTGTGACCCTCGGCACTGAACCTTATTCTTTAACCTCTATTTGCTCCAGTTTCCTCACCTATAAAGTGGAGATAATAAGACCTACCTCACAGGGTTGTTGTGAGGATCAAATAAGATCAGTTCCTGGCACATAATAGGCTTATTCCCACACCCCTTCCCCCGTTCCCTTTAATTGGTCCTTACAGAGTGCTGAAGTTGTAATGCTTCATTTCATTTATTTAATGGTTTCATGTTCCATATTCTTAATTTTTAAAAACTTCCTATTTTGAAAACATTTTTACTTTCAAAACGAAAACAAAAACTTTATAATTAATTTATCCTCCATCTGAGCATGGCCCCTCAAATAGAAAGATTTTTCCTCTCATTGGAAAGTCCTACTTTGAATGTTGGTTAATTAGATGTGATTCAAGGTCAATGTGCATAAAAATCAATGCCAGAAATATCTTATTTTGTATTTGAATTTATAGTTCTCATTTTCTCTTACATTTTCTTATTTAATCTATACTATGTTATTAAGATAGACAGGAGAAATGGTGGTATTTTCTTTAGAGATGAGGAAACTGAAACAAAGGGATTAAATGGCTTTTGTAAAGTCACATATTTACCAAGTGGCAAAAACTGGATTGAATCTTTATTATTTGGACTGCTAGTCTGGAACACTGGAAGACTAGTACCTAGTCCTTCTGGGTTCATATGCCTAAAGAGTAGCAAATTCTGAATTTCTAATATTTCTGAGTCTAATGATTCAATATTTGGCATACTACCATACCTTTGGCAGAATATAATCCTAGAAAAGATAGTAATACATAGACATTCATTTTGGAATGCAATTTGGAAGTAAGGGAATAAAGTGACTAAAATGTCCATGCCCTTCATCCCAGAAATTCCACTACTAAGCATATACCTTGTACCCCAAGGAGGTCACTGATATAAGAAGTCCCCATGAACCCTGAAATATTTATAGTAGCTCCTTTTTGTAGTAGCAAAAAACCTGGAAATAAAGTAGATTTTCAGCAATTTGGGAATGGCTAAACAAATTGTGGTATGTGAATGTAACGGAATATTTCTGTGCTGCAAGAAACAACAAAAATGATAAATGCAGAGAATCATAGAAAGACTGATATGAACTGATGCAGAGTGAAGTAAGCAGAGTCAAGAAAACAGCATATGCAATGAATACTGTAATGTAAATGGAAAGAATCATAAACAATGAAAAGTGAATATTGCAGAATTTGGGGCCAAACATGACCCCAAAGAAGAAATGGGAGAAGATACCTCCTTGTTTCTTTTGTAGAGACTGGAGTCCACAGGTGTGGAACACTGCATATATTTCATATTTTTTCAATGTGTTCATTGGTTTTAATGTTTTTTTTTCTTTTTCCTTTTTCTTTAAAAAAAAATAATTTCTTATATGAGATGGCTCCCTGGGAGAAATACTGGAAGACATTAGGTAATATAAAGACAAAGATATCAATAAAAATTTATTTTTAAAAAATCACGGGTATTGAAGTGAATTTGGAGAATTGTCAAGCCCTGAATATGGAGTTTTAAAATGTCCTGGTAAGAATACACACACATACACACACACACAAATACATCTATGTCATACAAATACACGTATACTTATAGAGAGAGATATATCCATATATGATACACATATTTTGTGTCAAAAAAGTGAATTGATTCCCTCCTTTAGCTTATCCATGCTGATTCTCTAATTTAGTACCTTACTGATTTGAATAACTACATGACTGGAACCTTCAGCTGGAGAATTTAATGGATATGGGTAAATACCAGGAAGTTCAGAGTCACCAAAGTCCCCGTTCTCATGTGAGCCATCGTGCCCTTCCTTTGAGGCTCTTCTGAGGGCCATGTGGTAGAATGGGAAAAGCACCACATCATCAGAATCAGAGAGCCAAGGTCTGAATCCAGCCACACTACCCTGGTGGCATTGCTCAGGTTATTTCATCTCTCAGGGCCTCAGTTTCTTCTTCTATAAAAATAGAGAATTATACTAAAAGACCTCTGAGGTTCTTTTCAGCTCTAAATCTGAGATTTAGATTTCATCATCTCATTAAGGCAGTTGCCCAGCCCACCAGCAGCTCTGACGAGGGAATTTCAAGCCCTTGTTCTAAATAATGAAGAATGTATCTGGATTAAGAGTATATAGGGGGAGAGGTGCCCCATTGTGTTTAGGGGTCCATTATTTTTCTGCTACTGTCTCAGGGTTAGGCCCTAAAACAGTAGGAAACCATGGGAGGTTAATGCTGAAATCACAAAATGAAAAACACCAGTCCATCAGTAGAGCAGAACCAAGGCACCAGCATTTACCTACACCTTCTCCTTCTGTTCAAGTGAGAGTGGTAGACACCCAGCGTTCACACTGAGGAAGTTAAGCTTCCATGTTTCCTTGTAAAGGTAAGTCCTTTGACACTGGGAAGTGTAGCAAAGAAATGTATGTCATAAGAACTATGGGAAGCTGTCAAAACTCGATGTTTTTGAGGTTGCCTTCTTAGTGCAGTGACCAGTCAAGGTTTTTCTTTTCTTACAAGGACTAGATGGAGCTGAGAGGGAGGACTAGGGTATAGTATCTCTATACAGATGACTCCCAGATCTGTATACGCAGCCCTACTGTCTCTCCTGAGCTCCAGGTACACGTCTCTCAATTGCCTTTTGCATATTTTAAACTTGATATCCTACAGGGTTCTCAACCTCAACATGTATAAAAAACTGAACTACTCTTTTTCAAAAAGCCCAATTCTTCTGAATATTTTCTGTCAAAGACATCATCATCCTTCCAGTCACCCTCGCTCTCCCTCACCTCCACATATCCCTTTGGTTGCCGAATCGTCATTTGCCTCCGCAGCTTTCAGATCCCTTCTCTCTACTAATGGGGCTGCCACCCCACTTTAAGCACCTGCCACCTTTCACCTGAACTATTCCAGTAACCTCCTAACTGGTCTTTCTGATTTATTTATCATCTCTCTGATCTGTTCTACACACAGGGGCCAAAGGGGCTTTCCTAAAGTGTATGTCTGACTAGTCATCCCCCATTTAGTAAACTCCAGTGACTCTAGGATGGAAAAGAGGTCCATGCCATGCAATGCAATGCAATGCCCAGCCACAGTACTAAAGGACTCATATTCATCTCCAGATTGAGCGCCAAAAGACTCGAAATGCAGATCGAAATATATTTACTTTCTTTGTGGGCAAAGCTAATGCAGGAATTTCCTTTGCTTGACTATATGTATTTGTAATTTGTGTTTGTTTCACCTCAGTGAGTGGAGGAGAGGGAGAGAATTTGGAACTGAAAATAAAAATGAATTGTTTTTCTGCTTAGCTTTTAAGGTGCTTCACAAACCTAGGTCCAACCAACCTTTCCCACCTTAGTATACACTACTTCCCATCCCACGTCCCAAAGTCCTGCCTAGTTGGCCTCAATGTGCTTCACAGGGGACGTTTCATTTCTCCCCACACCATGCCTCACTTCTGAATCTTAGAATCCCATTTGTTTTAAAACTGCTGCAAGGGGCAGCTAGGCAGTTCAGTGGCTAGAGCTCTGACCTTAGAGTCAGAAGGACCTGAGTTCAAATGTGGCCTCAGATACTTGACATTTACTAGCTTTGTGACCCTGGGCAAGTCACTTAACCTCATTGCCTAGCCAGAAACAAAAGCAAAAACAAAACTGCTCCAGCTGTACCTTCTGACTGAGGCGGTTGCTGACTGCCCAGCTCCCAGTGTTTTTCCCTTAAATAATTACCTTGTACTTACTTTGTACATAATTTGTATATATCTATTTCTGAGAGGCAGTGTTGCATAATACAGACCTGCTCTTAGAGCCAGGAAGACCTGGGTTCAAGTCCTATCTATAAACTAGTTGTTTGTTATTGCTCTGGGAAGGGCAGCTAGGTGATAGTGCAGAGCACTGGGCTTGTTCAAATCCAGGCTCAGATACTTCCTAGCTATGTGATCCTGGGCAAGTCATTTAACCCTGTTTGCCTCAGTTTCCTCGTGTAAAATGAGCTGGAGAAGGAAATGGCAGGAAGGATCTTTGCCAAGAAAACCCCACAACTGAACAACAAGAAGATTCTTCCAACTCTCTTTTATGATCCTAAGTAGGGGTGGTATGAGGTTCAAATGAAATGATGCATATAAAGCACGCTGCAAACCTAAAAGCACTATATCAATGCCACATACCATTATTATTTTAATGATTAGCCTCCAGTCACCAGGCCTTCAGACTGGTGACCACTTCATTCCCTGAAAGCCTTCTACTACACTCCTGCTGAGCTCAGTGCAATTATTTGTAGAACTGTACAGGGTATGTTGATAACAGATACTCTAGAAAAAATAAAGAAAAATATATGCACACAATTTTAATTGTTTAATCCACATTATTAAAACATTAAAAGTCGAGATAATCAACAAAATAATAAACCACGCTCTGATTTGTAGAGAGCTGTCGCAAGCACACCCCTGATTCTAAGTACAGTCAGGTAACTGATTTAAAGATGCCAGTGAGAAATCTTTTTGTAAATAGAACTATCATTTTATCATATGAAAAATCCCTCTTGGGCAATCTTCCTTGCAAACTCAAATATCCATATATAACATCTTCAGTGTTTTCTGGCAAGGTAGATTAGGATTCAGCTTGACTGTTTCCTCAGCCTCCTCCATGTTGGTAGGTTTTGGAGAAGAAAACTGAACTGAACCAAGCAAAAGATGGAAGATTCGGGGAATATCGAGAGGTGACTTTGCAAGAAAAGGCAAGTCACCAGAAGGAAGGCCCTTATAGGCTAAGAAGCAGAAGAACCGGTAAACGTGGGATGGAGTGGCGTGGGGTGTTAAAGTAATTGAGGCAGAGAATAATGAGGGCCAGCAGGAGCAAAGAGATACTACGACTGTAGTAGGAATGAGCAAAAACATGTTTATCATTGCATATGGGAAATATCTCTAGTGGAATCTAAGCTTCTGTATCAGTTCCGTACTTGTGTCCCGAGCACCTCGCACGGTGCTTGGCTTAATGCCTATGGATTGATCGGATGGAAAAGGGGGTGCAATCCAACAAAGTCTGTTCCTAGTTTTCAAGAGGCAGGTGTTGGTCAAAGGAATTTCAACAATTAAACAGGAACTAGAAACATGCTGTTACTGTGCTCATTTCAGGGACTCCTGTAGATCCTCACCATGGAGAAATCTGAATACTTCCCATAGGATCCACCTATCATATTTTGCCCAGATGGAGTATTTGTAGGTGAGAAATGGTCTCGAGGGCACTTGAGTAACGATATGGGAGTGAACATACATTTTTGGGAAATGTTTGGATGGCTGCAGGGTGCGCTGGAAAATGCCGCCCCCCAAAACAAACAAAGAGTACCGGAAGCAGAGGCATCAGCACGGAGTGATAGACAATCTTGGGGAAATCACCTCTTTCAACCAGCAAAGTGTGCCTGGTAGGACACCGATCCTGGAATCTGGAAGCCAATCACTGGCCCTACGGCCCCGGGCAACTGATTTAACCTCTCTCAGCTTCAGTTTCCCCATCTGCAAAATGGGGTTAATAACCTCTACCTCCCGAGGTTGCTGTGAGGGGCGAGTGAGACGCTCCTTGCTGGCGTGGTGCCTGTACTTAATCGCTCAGCCTCAGTTTCCCATCTGTAAAACGCGGATGATGAGAAGGGTATTCCCGCGTCCCCCTCCTCCCCCGCCCCCGCCCGGGGTGCAGCGAGAGTCAAACGCGATAACAACGAGCCGCGTGTCTTCATTACTCTCACTGCTTCATCACCGCCCTTCTGCGGAAGCCACGGGATTCGAACCCGCCGTTCCCAGGCCCCCGGGTGTCCGAGAAGCCCCCTTTGCACCACATCACGTGCGCGGGCGGGAGAGCGAGGGCTGCGCAGGCTGGTCGCGGAGGCCTTGAGCTAGCTGGATTGGGGTAAGGAGAGGCCGCGGGGAGGGAATGAAAGCAAAGGGGGGAGTCGGAGCGAGGCAGCTCGGCATGAGTGGGCACGCGGCCGCGGACTGCACCTGCCGGCCCGAACGCGGGGCGCCCGGGGCGGCTTCGGCACGTTGGGTGGCCCAGGAGCGCAGTTCCGGCACCAGAGCGATCGCCCTCGTGGCTCCTCCCGGACCTGCAGGAGGCTCAGACCCTGCGCACGTGCCACGCGAGACATCCGCATGCGCCTCTGGGGCGGGGGAGGGGAGCAAAACCAGGAGAGGCCCGGCGCCCAGAGCGCCACCTTAGGCTACACGGCCGAAGGCAAAGCAGTTTAAAGAGCTTTCTAGCGTGAACTAGAGCGTGTCGGAATCTGCATACACGCAGTCAAGAGTGGGAAGTGCAAATGGCTTTTGCTTTTGGGTCGTCTCAATGGTACTTTGAACTACAACTCCCAGAATTCCATGGGAGCCTCCCGTTAGTCCCGGTCTCTAGGGTACCTGCCGATTGTTAGAATCGTCGTGCGGGATAGGTTGAAAGCAAAGACTTGTTCCGGTGATCTCAATGATGACGCGCCAGTGAAAAAAACCAATGAATATATCACTGAAGAACGCCTTCAGCAGAAGCCCCAGTGGCCTAATGGATAAGGCATTGGCCTCCTAAGCCAGGGATTGTGGGTTCGAGTCCCATCTGGGGTGAAACGATTTTGTGTTCTTAAGAAATCTTAATTTTATAGATCACTTGTTTTTCTGCAGAAAAATAAATTGTGGATTCGAACCCAGCATCACGGGTTATCAGATTAGCACGTACCATATTCCAAAATCGAAAGGGTACGCTCTTGTGGAACTTCCTTGTCTTGCACAAATTGTCTTTTGGGGGTCGTTTCGACCTTTTCCACTCTCACACATTATTTCCCTCACGCACGCTTCCAAGCTGGCCTTTCAGCAGTTCGTCACACACGGGTCAGTCCGCCTTCTGAGTGTGTGCCCTTGCACACCCAGGCCGTCCGTCGTGCTTGCCGTGCCTTCCCTCCTTACCTGGGGTCTTGCGATCCCTAGCTTCCTTTAAAGCTTACCTTAATCTTCACCTCGCCTGGCCCTTGCCCACGCTCCCACTCCCGTCTCTTTCTTTTGTATATCTCCTGCGTATACATATGTAAGTGTGTATGTTTTCTCCTCCGCTAGAATGTAACCTCCTGGGGGACAAGATCTTTCATTCTTAGCACCTAGCAGAGTAAGGCGGATCTCAGACGCAGGCTCTGGCTCCACATTAAAATGCCCCGAAGTTCTGCTTAATCGTTGGTAAAATGCAGGCTCCACCCTCTCAGCTTCTTCCCTGATGCGGATTCTGGATGTTGGAGAAAAGGGGCCAGGGAAAAGCCTTTCCTGCCCTTCCCCGGAGGTGCATCCCTGATCTAGGTGGAGGCCGAAAAAACGCAGGAGGCCCGCGGACATTCGGCTTTTGTTTGCTTTTCTTTTCTGCACTCGATTGCGTGGCCTGGAGTGCTGGGGCTGGGGGGATCCTTGGGGGGGGTCCCGACTGGGCCGCGGGACGTGGGGCGAGGGAGCCTCTTCGGGCTCGTCTCCAGCAGAGGGCGCTGATGCCAACCCTCGTCGGCCGCCGTCCTCAGCCGGGGCCTGCGCCCTGAGCCTCAGCATCATCCCCAAGATGGTGGCCTTGGGCCCGCCGTCCCGCACGTTGCGGGCCCTCTTGCGGGAACTGCGGTACTGGAGCGCGGCCACAGACCGGCCCTACAGGGACACAGCAGCGTATCGGTACCTCGTGGAGGCCTTCCGGGCGCACCGGGTACGGACCCCCGCGGCCGCGGAGATGGGGGCGGGGTCTGCCTGTGGAGGGGGGGTGGGGGAGGGAGAGGGAGGCGGAGAGCCGGGAACCCAGGTCGGGCTGCTAATGTTGGCGCTCCAGGCCTAGCGCGGTCGGGATGGGACCCGACTCGGGGTTCCATCGGTGGAGCCTTGACATTCGTGGGCCTGGGGCAGGCCCGTCGGCGTCACACGCACGCTTTCGGAGCGCCGTGGGGTTGTGACCTCCGCCGGATGAGGTCTTGTTACGGATGGATAAACTGAGGCCCCGAGTGGGGGAGTCACAGCAGAACTTGCTGGAACTCCTGGACAAGTCTGCAAAGCCAGAGGTTTACAGTGTGCCCCTGAGAGATCCGTGGGATGTGGAGAAGGAGCCTTCTATGCGGAGGTCGTTATTAGGTCACCGATAGGTGATGAGACTCCAGGCAGATGTTCCCAGGAAGTTTGGGACTTCTGAAATAGACCTGCAGTAAGCCACAGTAATTGGGTGGTTAGTCCAGTGGTGGGTGGCCACGGTTCCAGAACACACAGCCCGCAGGTGGTGAAGATTGGGATGTTATAATTATTGTTGTTATTGTTGTTACTGCAGTTTTTCAAATGGGGGATTTGATGAGGCACTGAATAGGTCGGTCTTTTGTGCTGTCTGGAGGTAACATTTATTGACATTTGTGGCAACAGCTGTGCTGGTGATTGAAAATTGTTACTGGGGTATCTCGAATTCTTAATAAAGATTCCAGGGACCTTCCTATGGTGGCTGGGGAACTGGGAATTACGAAGAAGGAATTTGCAACTCTTAGGCAACCAAAACCAAGAGCTTATTCAAAGAGGAGAATAATCAATCAAGGGACAAGCCCACAGGTTCCTCTGGAATCCTTTATTGTGGCGGGAGATCACGAGGAAGGCCCCACTAGTGTGGATCTCCTGTGGTGAACTTAGGAGAGCACAGTAACTGGTATGGGCAGGTGTAGATAAGCCATGATCTGCAACCAGGGAGGGAAGTTTTGGAATGTCTCACTAGTTGACTTCTTGAGGTTAGGGACTGTTTTTCATTGTCTGTATCTTCAGTGTTGAGAATGGTGTCTTGGAACAGAGAGGTGCTTAAACATGCTTATTGGACGGGATTGACTTAGAACAAAATGTTAACAGGTAGTTAGGATTCCTCTTCTAGTCTCTTTTTTCTGTACCTTACAACCGATTTAGCTAGTTTTCATGCAGTTTTTTTTTTCTGTTAGGTTCTTTTTAACCATGTTGAGACTTGTTCTTGAAACCTATTACTAATCTGCTTACTCCCTTTTCCCCATGCAAGATGGTAAATTTAAAAGTAGGATTTGTTCTTTTTTGTATTAGTGTAAAATAGGCTTCTTAGTACTTCAGATCCTGTTATTTTATCTTATATAGTTGTTATTCCTATAAGCTCTTATTGTAGGGTTTGGACCACATACATGTAGGTAGGTTTACATAAAAATTTATATAAACACAAAATCATCAAAATTGGTTATTTAGTTGAAATTCATACTGTACTCTAAATATTATATTCCTTAGTGTTAACCAGAAACTGAAAGCCCTGATTTCAGTCTTTTGAGCAGTAAGTTCCTTTATTCTACCAAATTTGGTGGGGTTATAGTACAGAAAGCTCAGGCTAGCATGGGGTCTGTTTTTTAAAATATTTTGACAACTATTTCAATATAATTGGTTTCCTTTGTAATCCTATATTTTATTCATTTAAAAACATTTTCTGAGAAGGGTTCCATATCCTTCACCAGATTGCCCAAGAACATCATGACACACAAAAGGGACCCTTGAATCTTTTGACCTTAGATTCCAGATTCTGACTCTGAATTCTCAACTCTGAACAAAATTTCAAACAGTGACAGATAACACAGGTAGCATTTATGAAGCACCTTAAGGCTTGCGAAGTGTTTTCTATATGTTACCTCCTTTAAAAAGTAAAGGTCTTCTGTGATATAGATATTTGACAGCAGGGTCCAAAAAAACCCAATTGTCAGAGCCCCTTAACTGAGGAACATGAAGGGAACAGTAATCCTCTGTTCCTTTTCTTACTCTAATCAATACCCCCTCCCCACTCAAGCTTTAGTCAAGCCCTGATGATATGAGGTACGTGAAATATAACAAAGATTTAAGCTTTATAATTTCTGCTGTTCAATTTTCTTTTAACTTTTATCTATATCTTTTGCTTTTACATTACTTTATTTTCATATCCATCCCTTCTCCTACCTCATGAGCCATTCCTTATAAGAAAAAAGGGGGAAGAAAGTACTTTGGCAAAACTGACCAGTGCATTTACTGTGTCTGACAGTGTATTCGATATTCACCCATACTTTTCACCTTCCTAAAGTAGGGCAGGGTGATTCCAATTGCAGGTTTTCAAAGGGATGTGTGGTTCCTAATTTCTGGAGAGCTCAAAGCCAAAATGCTATTGGTATATCAATGAAATCTGAGAGCATCAGAATATAGGGACCTGAGGGCATATGCAAGTTGTGTACTTTTTTCTGATACTTTTTCCCATTATGTCTTTTGAGAAATGGCCTTCAATGTATGTTTTCCGGTTAAAAAAAATTTCCTTGTTTAACACTGAAAAGGCATAAGGGCTCGTATGTCATATTTAACGATGAAATCTGTGGAAACCATCAATTGAGGAAGAGTGTTTTCTTTAAAGTGGGGATAGATTTCTTTGTCACTACTTAATTTGGTGTCTTTTAGGAGGCAGCATAGAATAGTGGCAGCAGCTTTGGATTTGGAATCAAGAGAACTTCATTTTGCCCCAAAACTGCATTTTTTACCTTTGACAAGTTATTTAACAAATCTAGGCCTTAGTTTCCACATTTGCAAAATGACAAACTCATATTAAATGGTTTTCTGAGATTCCTTCAAACCTAAAATTCTAGGAAACTGGTAGAAAAAGTTCAGTTTTATTTCTAGTGTGAATGGAATTTTTAGTTAGGAATTAGCCTAATATTATGGCAAACATAATCTTCGGTATTGAGTATCCATCTAGTACCATACTATGTTAGACTGTGTAGAGATGTTTTAGTGTATGCATGTCAAAAGTTATTATGATGAATTTAAACATATCTTCAAAATACTTTTGTCTTAGAAATATGGATATGCATTGTCAACATATTGCAAAAACTATGAGTTATATTTCAGACACAGTGAAGATATTTAATGTTATTGATACATTTCATCAGTGTAATATTGAAAATTTGACTTAACTCCCCTTTGTAATTTGTAGGTTTTAAATGTTTCCATCCGTTCCACAGTTTGTCTTTGATCCCAAATAATAAGTTTACTTACATTAAATTGAGTTGTATTTTTCTCTGTGGAGTTTTCTGATAACTGATCATACCATCTTTTCTAGGTCACCAGTGAGAAGCTCTGTAGAGCTCAACATGAGCTACACTTCCAAGCTGCTACCTATCTTTGTCTTCTTCGAAGTACTCGGAACCACGTGGCCCTTCACCAGGAATTTCATGGGAAGGGTGAACGTTCTGTGCAAGAGGCTGCCGGCGTGGTGGGTCTTACTTTGCCCCAACAGCCTGGAGGGAAGGGCTGGGAGTCTTGAGAATGAAAAGATTCACAAGATGCTGCCCTCATACAAGAACTTCACAATTATCTCTGTTTTCCAACTTGTATTAATGATTAAATTTAAAAATGTGTTCACAAAAATTACTTACATGTAGTTTTATTTTCTGAATGATTTTCAGATCAGTGAGAAGTTTCTATTTCATTATCAATGAATGTACTGCTCTTGTCCTAATGTGATGCTTCTTGACCTACTTTGAGTTGTCTTAACAATAACAGGGATAAACATCTACACAGATGTGTCATCATCTCACTAGACAAACCTTGCCTTTGGCAGTTTTTGAAACTGCTGTCTAAGGTTAAGGATGCAGGCTAACTGGACCATGGAGAGATCAGTCCATTGCCTTGGCTTTAGCAGGATTAAGACAACTGCCCATTAGAAGGTAAAAAACCCAGAATATTCCAGAAATTTTTGTGTTGGACAGTCTGATATTTGACAATAGTTGATATTTTGGGTATATAAATTTGGCATTTTGAGTATACAGTGTGAAGAACATAGGCTTTTCATATTTAGCATACTCTGTATTGGGATCTGTTCACCTTTGTTAAGTAGTTGTCCAACTAGTGTACCCTGCTAAAGTAATCATATATAGTAGATTTATTGATGACTTGGAAGTAGTACATTCTGACTAAGTCCTTAAGTTCTTAATTCTGGATCCTGGAACTTGTTTAAAAATTTTTTTTGATGACTGCATTTTAATTTATTTCCCTTGTAATCTTATGTATTTTATTTTATACATTTAAAAACATCCTTAGGAGTCCATAGGTTTCATCTGACTTTCATGATATCAAAAAAAAAGTTAAGAACCCTTGATTTAGAAACAAAATTATTATAAGGTATAAACTCTGCCTTCCAAAAAGCTTAAGATTCCAATCACAAAGACAAAGAATGTTCATTTAGATGCAAAAGGTAGGGGGAAAAAAGACATGATCTTGGGTTTTTAGCCTGGTATTTGAAGTATATTAGAAGTGGTAAAGGGGAGGTTTGAAGGCATTTTCCATTTATAAAAATGGAGGACATAAGTTTTTGGTTTTTTTAATTAGTCTTTGAGGGATGATGCCTAAAGCAGTGAAAATCATCATTTATGTCATTACTTTATAAATTCAACTTTGCCCAGGGCTAGAATCCTAAGGAAGTATCTAACTCAGAAGTCTGTTATAGACGTCTTATCTTTTTACATAGCTTGTAGCTTGCAGTTCAGGCTTGGGTCCAGCAGATATCATTAATTTGGGATTACATCCACTGCCAAATAACCTCTCCCCACCTGCATTCAAATATATTTAAGTTCATTGCAGCTTCAGGTTGTCACTAAATGAAAGAGGAAAATGTAGGATAGAAGAGATGCATAAGTCATTTTACAGTACCTCTCCACATAGGTGATCGTCTTCAAATCAGGAGACTTTCTACATTAGTGCAAACCCAGAAAGAAGGAAGAGGCAGTCTGAAGAGCCTAGTGACTTGCAAAAGCAAAATCGTATTTTTACATCTTCTCTTGTTACATCTTTGTTTTCTTCTTCATTTTCTTTGTCGTCTTTCTCCCTTCCTGGAATGACAAATGAGTGAGTTTTCTAGCTTTGCCCTTCTTAATACCTAGGAAAAGTATATGGAGAGCTTACCAGCATTTATGAACGTTAATAAATCTGCACTTTAATATAATCACATAATCAAGAATTGACTGCACTTGTGGTAATAGAACTATTGATTCTCAGAAGCCTGTATTATTGTCAATGTGTGAACATAAGTTATGTAACTTGGAGATTCCAAGGTTATAGCACTGGGTTCTCTCATCACCATTGTTTCTAATAAGGTACATCCTTAGACCTTTGTGCACTGTTTTTGTTCACCGTACATGGATGGCCTTTGCAAATGTGAAAAATGACTAGTGAATGGATTATTTGAGAAAGTTAAGCTGATTCTATATACGAATATTATCCAATTTAAGAGGCACTAATGTACTTTAATGAAGACCACTGATGTTTAAGTCAAAAAAACTGGATTCCTAGGATTGTGGGATTCTGAGCTGGAAGAGCCCTCAGAGGTCAGTTAATTTAGCCTCTTTCATTTTACAGATGAAGGAACTGAAGTTTGGTGATACTAAGCCCAAGTTCATACAAGTAGCAATAAGCACAGATCTGGGGTTAGAACACAGGTCCTTTGACTCCAAATTCAGTGATTTTACTAAGCCATGTGAAGTCTCAGCTTTTCCTGTGATATTGAATAAGTCACTCCTCTGAGTTTCAGATTTCTCATTTGTCAAATAAGAGAATTGAACAAGATTATATCTAAGGCCCCTTTCAACTCTTTCTGTACTTTTTGACCCATGTTTATGAGGGGTTTACCATTGCTCTTATCTGCCCACAATTAGGAGTCTCTCCACTGCTTATCATCAAGGGGAAAAAAATGAAACCTTTAAAGAATCTGGGTTGTGAAGGAGAGAAAAGGAAGCTTTGAAAACCAAGAACATTTTAGGGAAGTTGGCCCCCCATTTGAGCTCTGCTGCCTGTCTGATGGCTCTTCTCCCTTCACTACTTCATGATGTGCTGGGGGGTTTTGTTTGTTTTTGCTTTTTATTTTTTTGGTGAGGCATTTGGGGTTAAGTGACTTGCCCAGAGTCACACAGCTATTTAAGCATGTCTTTTTTTTTTTTTTGGTGGTGGTAGTGAGGAGGTTCCAGGGTTAAGTGACCTGCCCAGGGTCTCACAACTAGTAAGTGTCCAAGGCTGGATTTGAATTCAGGTTCTCCTGACTCTAGGACCACTGCTCTATCCACTGCACCACCACCTGCCCAAGATGTGCTGTTTCTGTCCTCACCCCTACCTTCAAATTGTAGCCCATGCTGTATACCAAGTTCACTGTGCTTTATCATATTAACTCAAGTTTCACTCTATTAACCAGCATCTTCTTCAAAGAATAATAGTAGTGAGCATTTATAGGTTTTGCAAAGTGCTGTATATCATATGTCACCTTGTTTGACCTTTACAACAGCTCTGTAGGACAGTTGCTATTAGCCCTATCTTACAGGTGATGAAAATGAGGCTTGAGAGAGGTAACTTGTCAAGATCTGAACTCAAGTCTTCCTGACACCAAGTCCAATGCTTTTAACCACTGCACCACCTAGTTGCAGATTTCTCCAGACTCTATCAGTTAGTCATGTACTAGTATGAATTAGTCTACTTATTATAAGTGATATCATGAGTTTTTATTTCAGGAAGAGGAAGGTAATTTGGGGATATAAAATACTTTGAGAACATAGACTATGCTGTGATGATCAGTTCGGGATTTAAGGCAATATAATGGCACTCTGTATCTAGGTAAGAGGTATAGAAAGAGGTGGAAGGATGCCAAAAGCAAACATCTATTTCAAAATTTTGCCTAGGGTTGACCCTTTCGGGAAACTTCCTTTTCCTATAACTTTCTGCAACACGTGGTCCTGCTCTACGGACCCCAATCATTTTATGGTTTTTTTTTCAATTTAAAAAAAATCTTTTTTTTCCTTCTCCCCTTCCATTGAGGAAAAAAAGAGAAAGAAAACCCTTATAATAAATATTCAAAGCATATGTCAAGCAAAACAAAGTCCCTCAGTAAACATGTCCAAAATACTTTTTTTTTAAATTTTAAACTGCATCCTCAGTTTATGGGTTGTTTCTAATCCTTGCCTTTAGGTTTTTATTTACCTTGATATGATGAGTATCAGCCTTTTTTCCTAATTGTATGGAAAGGAAATTGTGAAAAAAGGCTTCAAAGTCAGAAAAACAGACAATTGTTAGGAGGGTTAGGATGAAAGCTTTGACAGCCTACACTTTCATTTTTGTCTTTGTATCCCCAGTTCCTGGCACACAGTGGGCACATAAAAGTTTGTTGATTGGGGGCAGCTAGGTGGCAAAGTGGATAGAGCTCCAGTCCTGGAGTCAGGAGGACCTGCGTTCAAATTCGAACTCAGACCAGACACTTGACACTTACTAGCTGTGTGACCCTGGGCAAGTCACTTAACCCTGACTGCCTCACCAAAAAGCAAAAAAAAAATATTGAAGAGTAAGAATTTGTCATTGTGTTTGAAGTGATACTAAGAGGGACAGCATGCTAATTATAGTCAACACCTTGTTTCTTTAGACAGAAACATCCCTAGAGTAATGAATGGCAATTCATTATAAAATTGGTAATGATATAATTTATATTTGTGTATGTGTGGCTACAAATTATTTTCACATATATTACCTCACTTCTCATAACAACTCTATAAAGTAGGCAAGGTATTATAATCCCCTTTTCACAGATTAGAAAAAAGTTGAGGTCCAGATACAAATGACTTTTTCAGGCACATAGCTAGGGGGAGTTAGGATTGGAACCTCAATTTTCTTTTCCAGTCAGACTAGTGTGCTTTTTTAGTATATGCCATTAAGTAGAACGTAAGCCATTTTAGCTTATCTATAAAGAACATGAAACTCTTTGTTACAACTCTTTATTCATCAAACAGCCTTCTGCTGTATAATTTTCCCTAATGGGTATACCTCCCATTAGAAGGGTAGTGTACATGATTAATCCTGGCTTTTAGGCCAAGTTTTTTTTTTAATTTTATCAAAGTGCTTATAAGTTAAGTAGTTTCATCAATCCCATGGGAACAGATAGTTTTTGAACTTTCAGAGCAATAGATTGTATATGGCTGTTCCCAACAGGTATAGATACAACTTAGTGAAATTCAAATGAACAACAAACATTTCTAATTGTCTTAACTGCAACACTGGTGACCTTTGATTCTAAGAATGGTAAGTTTAGAATTAGGAGCCTTTTTGTCATTTTGAGGGAGGCCAATGAACAATACTGGAATGACCTAAGGGTCTTGAAATAATATAATGCAGCCTATGTGAAAGAATAAAATATTAAAGGTTTTTATATTGATATCTTTTGTTTTTAAACATCTTTACATTCTTCCTCAGCCTTCCCAAAAAGCCATCCCTTATAACAAAGAATTTTTTAAAGGAGTGACTTCTAATATCTCTTCTTTAGGACCAGAATTGTTTTGAATATTAAATAGTTTTATTGTTATTTCCATTTACATTGTTTTAGTCATTGTATATATTGTTTTCATGGCCCTGCTGCTTATTTCAGTCAACATCAGTTTGTAGAAGACTTTTCAGGCTTCTTTTGAGCTATCATGTTTGTCATTTCTTTGAGCACAGTAAAATTACACTGTATTCATGCATCACAATTTGTTTAGTCATTCCCCAGCTGATGGACATCTAATTTGTTTCTGTTTGTTTTTTTGGTACCACAAAAAAGAGCTGCTATAAATATTTTGGTGTAAAGGTGGAGCCTTTTTTTTTAAATGGTCAGTGACCTGAAAGAATAGGTTTTAAAGAAAGTACTATGTAGATCTCTGTCATCTTTGTATGTTTCAGGAGTGCATATATTCAGCCAATAGAGGAAAAACCATTTCACAAGATTAAATCCATGGCTACTGTTATTTTATAAAGGACATGTGGATTTGCTCCTAACTTCTGCCCTCTTTTCCCACATTTCTACAGGTATCAGGAAAGATACTATTTTCCTTGTACTGAGGAAAGGATAGTTATTATAAACCTTAGAACCTGAGTGTAGTACTTCCCTATGATGGTATTTCCTGTGAATATTAAAATTATCCCAATCTCTTTAGAAACTAAGCTATAAAGAACTGCAGAGGGAGAAAAACTAGACATAAATACTATAAAATAAGAGTTCAGGCAAAATTATGTTAGTTCCTAAAAGTCAAAAGAAAAATTGGACCCAAAGATGTTTTACAAAACCATGTGGTCAAACTAATTGCCCTGACAGATTAGATTCTTTTATTATGGGAAAGCTAGCCTCTCTCAAATAGTTCAGTAATGATAAAAATGCTAGAAAATAGGATAAATATGTTTCACTTGCTAATAAGCATTCATTTAGAGAAATAACCCTCATCTCTAAGTTAAAAAATTGTCTATATTTGTTATTATTTACTCTGGTATTTAGTTCACACTACTGCAAATTCAGGGGAAGCTATTGTCAAAATGGAGATTGGTGTTTTAAGTTAATCTGACAATTAACAATTGAAGTTTTAGAAGACAGAAAAAGTGATGCAGACTTTCTGCCTTTTCAATAATTCAGAGGATTTTTATAATAGAATTCTGAGATTTATAGTGAACTTAAAGGAAAATCAATTGAAAAATGAAGTTGTGTGATTTTTGTAAATAAACAAAATTCGAATACCTTGCAAATCTAAATTTAAGTACTATTAAACTATAAATATGTGTAAGCTGGGGAACTACAGCAAGTAGAACAATCACAACAGTCATGGAAATGAAGTAATCATGTTTTGTCTTACTGGCTTAGTCTTTTTTTATTTTTTTGGTGAGGCAGTTGGGGTTAAGTGACTTGCCTAGGGTCACACAGATCCTCCTGACTCCAGAGCCCGTGCTCTATCCACTGTGCCACCTAGCTGCCGCTGGCTTGGTCTTAAAAATTAATTTTTAACATGGAGGTTTTAATAGCCTAAGTCATTTTCTCATTTTGCTTAAGTCTCAGTTTAAT